TTAGCGATTTTGGGCTTGTTAGAATCCTCATATTATGACGAACATTTTGGTAGTTAAATCACTCAAAACGGATTAGTAAATCAAAAGTTATTAATAATTTTATAAATTAATATATATATAATTAATAATATAAATTTGATTGGTTAATTCAATGGAGCCAATAGAGCCAATAGAACCAATGGATACTATCCATTCACTCCATTGGCTCCATTGGCTAATTTTCCCAATGGAGCTTATCTATTGCCAACCCTGCCTGTAGTGGAATCATAAGATTCATCTTGCATAGACTCATCATTAATTATAAGATTATCACTACGAATATTGAGATTGATATTCTCTTTTGGTACTTCTGGAAGATCAGCTATACAGTATTTATATACAGTATAAAATGATATTAATAAATAAAAAAAAGGGTTGTAAAAAATTTATCTATATAATAAACTATACCATGAACGACAAAAGTGTCTCTAACGTCCCTGGCTGCATAAAAAAAAAGAAATCAGGTAAGCAAAAATCACCAAAAGCATATGGATTTTGAGCGGCGATGAAAATAATTACTATCAATATAAGGTTGAAAAGTATAATCCCGATAGTATGTAAGAGTTTGCTAATTACTTGTACTTGGCTATCTAGTATTAAAGACATCATTTTGAAAATCATTTAAGATCTTGTCAACATCTTGATAGAAACGAGAAAAAGCATTGTCATAGAATATATCCCTACAAATAGGATCATGCATTGTCAAGAAGCCAGTTTGAGGGCCAAAAGAGCCAAAAGATGTTAAAGCCATGGTGATAGTGATAGAGAAACAAAAAACAAAAAAGATGAACAGTATTGTTTTAGAAACATCGAAAAAATAATTAATAGAAATCGTTGAATTTGAAAAGAACGCTATTTTGAATTAATTTAAAATTTAAAAGTTAAAAAAGTTTATTGAAAAAAATTAATATTCTATATTTTTATACTTGTAAAAAAAAACTTGGGAAAGTTTTTCATAAGTATTATCATTATTATATCATAAAAAATATATATGTATTTGATATGTAAAAATAACATATCGATACGATAAAATAATTAACTGAATTTTAAGCTAAAGAAATTTCTAGCTTAAAAAGTAAATTATTCTTTAACAATTAGTAAAATATGATGATAACATGGAAAAATATGCTAAAGTAGTAGTTTATAAACATATTATATAATATTTACTTTTTCCTCTGATCTTGTCCTATGTACTGTATGTACGTATTATACTTACGTATCTTTCTTGAGAGTGAATATACAGATAAGTATTACGATCAATACTATGGATAGGTTGGTCAAGATTGAATGATTTTAGTAACGTTCGATTTGTCTCATCAAGATGAATTAAATGATACCAAAATCATTCAATTCCAAACACTACATTATGAGATATTGCTTATTAAAAGTTATATTCTTTAATTTGGCATGCTGATGATATATTGTAAGTTATCTTGTGAACTGTTAATCAGAATCATATAGTTTTGGTACTATTCGATTCATCTTAATAAGACGAGTCAAAGGTACCAAAATTATATGATACTAATCGATAGTTCATATCATCATTTAACAAAAATAAGCTGTACAAAATAATTTTAAAGATTACAGTTTTTTATTTTGGTTAAATGATAATATTTTGCGAATCCCAATCAGATTATGTGATTCAAATTCACACAGAACCTCTATTATTTCATTATAAAAAAAGATTATGCAATATTTAATAAAGTAATTATAATGATTGATTAGAGTTCAGCATATTTATAACTATATACTAAAAATATTTGTGTATAATGATAATGTTTAGACTACTAATATAAATAATTCTATTAAATTGTATAACATTAAATCTGTTATTTTGATTTGTCAATAAATTTATTAAGTAAAGATATCTTCAAGGCTTAAATAAAGTTGTAGAGGAGATAATTCTGAGTCAAATGGTGGTTAGATCA